TTTTTTTTTTCCTGATTGAATTTTGAGTTTTTCTATTTTTCTTTATTCAAACTTCATTGCAGTGTCGTGAGATTAGCTTCGAGAGTCACGAGGAGTTGTTGAAGGTGCTTCACGAGCTGCACACGACCATGAAAACGTATCACACGTACTGGGGCGAGTTTCGAACAGCGGAATCAAAGTTGATGCTGGCAGAAAGCCAGAAGCGGAAATTGGAGCTGAGCATCCCACCCGAGAAGCTTACGAAACGGAAGAAATTCCGAGTGATCGAGAAGGACATTGAAAAGGTGCAATTGCATTGCATCTTCTACGTCGTTTCCTCTCATTTCTCTCTGTGTATTTTTCTCTGTTTTTTTTTAATTTTTTTTTATTTTTTGCTGGTGGAGTCATTTCCTGCAATGTATTGTTGTTTGTTTGGTGTGCAGCGAAAAAACAAGTATAATGATGCGAGAACGAAGGCGCTGAAAGCAAGGAACGACTATTTGCTGTGCATGGACGCGGCGAATGCGGCTCTCCACAAATATTTCGTGGACGACTTATCTGACATCATGGATGTGAGTTCAAGAGATGAGAGATCTCGTCGGTTTCATCAATTTGTGTGATTTTAATTTTTTTATTAATTAATTCATTTTTTTGAGGAAAGGAACGAACTTTTTTTTTGTGCACGGTGCAAATAATGTGAGAATTGATTCATAAGTACTTCATTTATTCGAGTACCCCGCGCGCATTTTTTTCTCAAAATTAAGAAGAAAAAAGCGAGTGGGTGTAAAGTTTTTGAAGAGTTTTAGAAGTTTGGGTGCACATTATATTTGATTCTAATAAATTGTGGACCAATTTGTTTTTGTTTTTTTAAACTAATTTCTAAGGAAAGATTTGAAAAATCTTCGGGTTCAGGTTCAATTCATATCTGAATTCAAATTTCGGTCGTCTTATTTCGTAAATACAGTATTGCAGTTTTATGTTCACTAGAAATAAGATGCTCGTCTTACTTAAGGATGCAATTTTAGCAAAATTTTCAATTAAAAACTGGGTGCTTGTCGACTCAAGGGCTTGTGGTACTCGAGTAAATATGGTAGATAAGATCCAACAGTCATATGCTCCCTTTTTTTTAATTCCTTGAGACTATTTTTCCACGAGTA